GCAACAAAGCCGATTTTCAAATAAGCTTTCCTCCAGTAACCAAAATGTTTCTCAAAATAGTTCTCATCAAAATAATTTTCAAAAGAAAAAGGGCAGGGGCAGGAGTAAGTCTAAAACTCGTGTTAGTAATCGTAAGTGCTATAATTGTGGTGAACCTGGTCATTATGCTCACAACTGTGCTAAGCCTAATAAGCACTCTAATGATCAGCATGCTAATCATGTTTCTGATAATAATCTTGGTGATGTGTTTATGGTTGGTGAACATGCTTGTGTGAATTCCGTGCTATCATCTCTTGGTGAAAATGATTGGCTTTTAGATTCTGCATGCTCACATCATACGAATCCTATGAAACATGTTTTCTCACACTATGAATCATTGAATAATTGCAATGTGACTATGGCTGATGGCACAAAACGCCAAGTTCATGGAATTGGAACTGTTTGCTTAAAGTTTGAAACTGGTTATGTGTTAACTTTGCAAAATGTGTGGCATGTTCCTAATTTGAGTGAAAATCTGATTTCATGTGCTATCTTAGAAGATGATGGGTTTCATGGTGGTTGGGGTAATGGTTGCATGAAAATTATGAGGGGTAATCTGCTATGTTTTAAGGCCATGAGAATGCAAAATATGTATGTATGTCATTCTGAATCATCTGCTTCTGTGAATGCTGTCCAAAGTGATCATTCTATTCTGTGGCATAATAGACTAGGTCATATTAGTAATAAAGGCCTCAGCATTCTGCATAACAATCACTATTTTGGCAATGATAAAGTGTCTGAGGTTACTATGTGTGACTCTTGCATCGTTGGAAAGCAAACTCGTGTTTCTTTTCAACCAACCCCTTCCCCCAATCCCTCTAAATGTTCTGATATTCTTGAGTATGTGCATGCTGATGTGTGGGGTCCTGCCATTGTTCCTACACATGGTGGGAACCGTTACTTTCTGTCCATAATTGATGATTTCTCTCGTAAGGTGTTTGTCTTCCTGTTGAAACAAAAATCTGATGTTGTTGATAAGTTCAAAACATGGAAAGTTTATATTGAGAACCAAACAGGAAAACGGATAAAAACCCTTAGGACAGATAACGGTACATAATTTTGTAATCAAGAAATGGATGCTATGTGCTCTGAATCTGGTATTAAAAGGCACAAAACTGTTCCTTACTCCCCTCAGCAAAACGGATGGTTGAACGCATGAATCGAACTCTTTTAGAGAGAGTTCGAGCCATGCTCGCCACTTCGGGTTTACCAACTATGTTTTGGGGTGAGGCTGTTTTGACTGCCACTTATTTGATTAATAGATCCCCCTCTGTGCCTTTAAATGGTGATTTGCCTGAATGTGTTTGGTCGGGTAAACATGTTGATTTGTCCAACTTACGTGTTTTTGGTTGTGCTGCATTCATGCATCATAGAAGTGATAAGCTTGAACCTCGTTCTGTGAAATGTGTTTTCTTGGGTTATCTCGAAGGGGTTAAAGGCTATAGACTTTGGGTTAAAGGGGAACATGGCTATAAAACTTCTATTAGTCGTGATGTGATTTTTAATGAATCTGTTTTTCCTTGCCTTGTTGTGCATAATGCTGTGAATTCAGAGGCTGCTCCAAATGAGGTGGAGTTGCCTACTGTTAAATCTGAAAATGTGCCTGATATTGAATCTGAAATACTTGAAAGTTTGCATGACCAAAATGTTGAACATGACTTGCCTAATGTGGATGACTTGTCTGGTTATCAACTTGCTAGAGATCGACCTAGACATGAAAATGCTAGGCCTCCGCAACGTTTTGATAGCTTTCATCTTGCTTCTTATGTTTTCAATGTGTTTGAATCTATAGATAGCAATGAACCTAAAACTGTTAGAGATGCTCTAAAATCTGATAAATCAGCTGAATGGTTAAATGCTATGAAAGAAGAAATGAACTCTTTGCATGTTAACCAAACTTGGACTCTTGTTCCTAAACCTGCTAATTGCTCTTTGGTAGACTGCAAATGGTTGTTTAAGGTTAAGGATGAGGTAGACTCCATTAGGTATAAGGCTCGTCTTGTTGCTAAAGGTTTCACACAAAAGGAAGGTATAGATTATACTGAAATTTTTGCTCCTGTTGTTAAATTTACCACTGTTCGTATTATGCTTGCATTAGTTGCGCATTTTAATTGGGAATTGAAACAAATGGATGTAAAAACTGCTTTCTTACATGGTGAGTTAGATGAGCATATTTACATGAAACAGCCCGAGGGCTTCGTAGATGCTAAAAAGCCTGAATATGTGTGTTTGCTGAAAAAATCTTTATATGGCTTGAAACAATCACCTAGGCAATGGAATAGGAAATTCGATTCTTGCATGCTTTCATTGAAGTTTAAGAAAAGTGATTATGACCCTTGTCTTTACTTCAAAGATACTCGCTCTGTGCCTATTTTCTTGTTGATCTATGTTGATGATATGCTCATAATCAGCCCTTGTGTGAAATCTGTTGATCATGTGAAAATGTGTCTAAGTGAACAATTTGACATGAAATACTTAGGGGGTGCTAAGAAAATATTGGGCATGAACATTGATCGCAATCGAGATAACAATTTTCTGTTCTTGAATCAAATTTCTTATGTGAGTAAGATCATAGAAAAATTTGCCATGTCTAATGCTAAACCTGCAAACGTGCCTTTAGCTGCCCATTTTCAATTAAGTAAGGATCAGTCCCCCAAGACTGAAACTGAAATTGACTCTATGCAAAATGTTCCTTATGCCAATGCGATAGGTTCTGTGATGTACTTGATGGTAAGCACTCGTCCTGATATAGCTTATGCGGTAAGTTGTTTGAGTCGCTATATGTCGAACCCAGGTATGCCGCATTGGGAAGCTTTGAAATGGCTTCTTCGTTATTTGAAACATTCTTTGCATATTGGCCTAAATTTTTCTAAATCTGAAACTGAAATTGAATTAATTGGCTATGTTGACTCCAACTTTGCGAATGATAGAGACAGTAGGAAATCATCCACTTCTTACGTTTTCACTTTGTGTGGATCATGCATTAGTTGGAAATCGCAACTGCAGAATATTGTAGCCCTATCTACAACCGAGGCTGAATACATCGCTGCCACCGAGGTAATGAAAGAAGCTATATGGCTTAAGGGCATTCTGCGCGAAATTGGTTTTCTAAAAAGGATGTCACTGTTTTCTCGGATAGCCAATCGGGAATTCAATTATGTAAAAACCCGGTTTTCCACGATCGTACTAAACACATTGAGATTAACTATCATTTATTCGTAATATTGTGGAACAGGGTATTATCAAGCTGAAAAAAATCCCATCACAATTTAATCCAACATATATGGGTACTAAGTGTCTCCCACTCGAGAAGTTTCGCTCTTGCTTGAAAAGCTTGAGCCTAATCTCTCAATCTTAATTACTGTGTGTAATTATAGGGTTGTCTTCGTGACTGCCCCTATTTTTAATCTGTGTGATTAATCTTTTAATGTACGTTGCTGGCTTTGTGTGTTGTTGTGCAGGTACATTTAAAACGGCAATGATGACCTCATATCCCAATTTTGTCCCGATAGTCCATTTGGTCCAAGGCGGAGATTGTTAGATAAAAGGGGCCCAAATGTTTATTTGGCCCAAAATTGCTAACCCACTTTGTGCAGCCCACTCCCTTGGTCGGCCCATCAGCTCACTTAAAGCTCAAGGAGATTCAATCTGGACCGTTGGTTGATAACTCTCGATCTCAGCCATCCACTCTCCATATAAATATCCTCCCTCTCTCTCAAAGCCTCCAAACCCTAACCTAGCAGCTGCACCTCTCTCTTCTCTCTCTTCTCGACGGCCGAATCTTTCGCCGGTTTCCATGGCGGTCGGAGATTCGGTCGATTGTCTTTCCTTTCTTGTTGCAGCTGCACGAGTATATATACATCTCTTCTTGAAGATGAAGAGTACAACGGAGTAACGAAATCTACCCATCTTCTACCTAGGGCCGTTCCTGGGAATTCGGGGGCCCTAGGCGAGATTTAAAGAACAACTGAAAACAGGGGCCCCTATTTGATGAACCATTTTTTTTTTTTATTAATGGGAGTTCGAAATTGAATGTGGTAAAAAAAATATTTTATATTTTTTCTAAAAATGAAGAAAATAAAGATTTTGGGGGTTCGGGGGCAGTGCCCCCGAAATATTTTTTGAAATGTATGAATATAAAGTAACTAAAAATATGGACAAAATTTTAAAATTAACAATATGATTTGCTGGTTCACTTCCTCCCGTAACATATAATTTTTATAGCAATAGACTTCAAAAATATTTATAAACTTGAATACACTAATAAATATTGATTCTTATTTTAGAATAAAAATAAGTTATTAAGACATTATAAATTAATATTTAGGGGCCACAAAATTTAGAAAATTTTAAAAATATCTATTGATCATTTAGTTTAAATTTATTTTAGAACCGATGTCCCAAAATATTATATATAATAAATTTTTAAAAATAATTACTAATATATAAAGTGTATATAAAATAATTTGGGGGCCCCAAATTTTCGAAAAAAATCGGGGGCCCTAGGCGACCGCCTACTTCGCCTCCCCTCAGAACCGGCCTTGCAGTTCTACCAGATGGAGTTCTTAAACAGCATCAGAAATCTTTGGGGTCTAATGTTATTGGAAACTTAGTCGGAAAGATGGTTAGGCCTCAGTCGGTTTGGCGGAGTCGGATTTTTTCTTAATCTAATCTGCTTAATCACATGATTATTTGTTAGGAGGCATTTAGGTTTACTAATGAAATGAAGAGAGAAATTAATTAAAGGATGAACCAACAAATCATGACCGGTTGACATCAAATTAACGTTTTTCAGTAAAACAAAGAAATGAATTAATTATTACATCCCACTGTGGGAATATGGGATTTTTATTATTAAAAAAATGTTTTATAAAAAATAATAATATAATCGTTTAGGCCCGACTTTTGATGGGCTTGGTTATTGTTTTGTTTACATTAAAGCCCAACTTAGATTTGGGCTTCGGGCTTCTGACTTTTTGTCCCGGTCGAGCAAGTGTAATTCACTTATCCAGCTGCAGCACCGCCGCCGGCCGCCGACCGCCTCTCTCTCTCTCTCCAGGTTTATTCATATCTCGGTTTATTTTCGAATTATTATTTTTTGAATAATTAGGTTAAAATTTCCCAAATAGTTATTCCTGTTTCGGCAATCGGTAGAAATGAATGAATTGGAAATTGGAGTCAATTGTTCCTCCTGTCGAAAATTGGGGATAATCTTGGTCAAATTCGGATCGATGATTAAAGTACAAGATTCGAGAATTCTAAAATCAGCCCCAAAAGTAATCAAAGACCGGTGTGGTTAATTTTGGCGTCAATGGAGTTTCCGAGAAAGACTGGCATTTGGTTAAGGAGATGAGCGATACCTACCCTTCTGTTATTCCCAATTTCGGCCTTCACCCCTGCTTTATTTCCGATTGCTTCCACACTTTCAAGGGTTTCCTCTCGTCAACTCCCTCTGCTGCAGTTCGAGAAACTGGTTTGGAGTGTGTGTGTGTGTGTGTGTGTAAACAGTGTGTGTATGTGAGTGTGTGTAGAAGCTGTGTGTGCATGTGAGTGTGTGTGTGTGTGTGTAAACAGTGTGTGTATGTGAGTGTGTGTAGAAGCTGTGTGTGTATGTGAGTGTGTGTAGAAGCTGTGTGTGCATGTGAGTGTGTGTGTGTAAACAGTGTGTGTATGTGAGTGTGTGTTAAACAGTGTGTGTGTGTGTATGTGTAAAACAGAGTGTGTGTGTAAAACAGTGTGTGTGTGTGTGTGTGTAAAACAGTGTGTGTGTGTGTAAAACAGAGTGTGTGTGTGTGTGTAAAACGGTGTGTGTGTGTGTGTGTTAAACAGTGTGTGTGTGTAGAAATTGTATGTGTATGTGAGTGTGTGCGTGTGTGTGAGAGTGTGTATGAAAAGTGTGTGTGAATATGTGTGAGTTTGAAAGTTTAGATATTAAACCACATAAATTGAGATATTAAACTACATAAATTGAGATATTAAATCCTAAAAGTTGAGATATTCAACCTCATAAGTTGAATTAAAAATGAAATGGATCCATGTGGATCCAATCCGGATCGGTCTAAATTCGATCCACATTAAATCTATTCATATAGGTTGATATTGGATCCGGATCTTTTGAATCCGATCCACATGGATCCAGATCGGATCCGGTCCAAGTTGAGAAATTGCCACCCCTATGCATAACTTGCAATTTCATTAAAAAAAAAATCTCTCTCTACTTAAACAAATAATTATTAATTATATATATAAATTGGATTATGATTTATAAAGAGTGTGGGCCTAATGAGGAATCCGATAAGCAGGCCGAATATGTAAAACCCGTAAGGCCCTTAGATTTAGACCTTAGTATTGTCATTTGGCGGCAACTTTTTTTTTTTTTTTTTCTCAGTCACCTGAGGGGAGGATTAATGTGTGAAGAAGCAGAGGAGCTCCGCCCTAGTTCGGACTCCTTCGCCGAAGTTAAGGAAACAATCTCCGATGGCGGTAACTCCTGGCCGGCTGTTCAGTACGACGTCGCTCCGTATAGAACCTACCATTTCTTCCAGCAGTTTAGGACCGCCGATTCGAACCCTAACAACTTTCTGAAGGGCGTCAAATGGTACTTTTCATTTACACCGAAATTATGTTTCATTTATCTTCAATTTCAGAAGAGGATAAACAAATCATCTCATTTGCTATTACCAATCTTACTAGTTTTCTCTCAACAGGTCGCCGGATGGTTCGTGCCTCCTAACTTGCTCCGACGATAATACCCTCCCGATTTTCAGCTTGTAAGCTTATTGATCATGATGAATTCTTAGTTCTCGATTTTATTTAATTCCTTTTAATTTGTGTTTCTGATTGTGTATTATCGATGTGTTTATCATTAGGCCTTACAATGAGAGTGGCAGTCTAGATGGTTCTGCTTCCATGCCAGATTCTGGTAGCTTGATTTTTTGCAATAATTTGTTTTTTTTTTTTCTTCTGGAAATGCCGCTTAATGTATTCAGCCTAATTGCAGATTCGTATGCAGCAAACGTTGTTGTGAGAGAGGGGGAATCTGTATATGACTATTGCTGGTACCCATACATGTCTGCTTCAAGTACATCTTCATGACATGGTTTTATTATTCCAAACTATGATATTGTTTTTGAAAGTAGAATTTACTATGTTGCCCGTTTGATATTTCAGATCCAGATCTTTGTGTATTAGCGACGTCTACGAAAGACCATCCAATTCATCTATGGGATTCTAATTCTGGACAGGTTGGATAAATGACAACTTGGTCTGTCTGTGTATTACTTTGCGTATTATTTGATTTGAGTAATGAGTATATACGAATGTGGTAATTTCAGCTCCGCTGCACGTACCGTGCTTATGATGCCATGGATGAGATTACTGCTGCCTTCTCAATTGGCTTCAACCCTAATGGAAACAAGTAAGCGGACACCAATTTAATGACTTGTTATTTCTCCAATCCACGTTAAGACTTGGCGCTTGTGTGATGTATGTCATAGTTATGATATTGTGCATAGTTTCTAAATTGTACAATATTGAGTTAGGTGTTCATCGAGGGCATTATTGTGTTGTTACATTAGTGGAGACTTTCATTTCCTTGGAGAAGAGGAGATGGCCCCATTATTATGTTGTTTAACTAATAATACTTTCATTTCTCGCAAGGATGTGCCATTAACTATTTCGGTGACTGTTATTTTTCCCAATTCAGGATTTTTGCTGGATATAATAAAACTATTAGAGTATTTGATATCCATCGTCCGGGGAGAGATTTTGAACAATATTCAACTCTTTCGGGAAAAAAAGAAGGGCAATCAGGTAATTCTATCAAATGCATAGTACCATATTTGTGATGTTTATCTGTTATTCCCCTTCAGTTTACTTTTTAATGTAATTTGTGTGATAGTAGCTACATGTGATACTTGCTTTTTACTTGTCGTCAGGTATTATATCTTCAATTGCTTTCTCTCCCACTGATTCTGGGATGCTGGCTGCGGGTTCCTATAGCCAAACTACTGCTATATACAGAGAAGATAATATGGAGCTGTTGTATGTGTTGCATGGCCAAGAAGGTGGTGTTACCCAAGTAAGTTGGGTGAATTACCATTCTTAGGGTTGATATTTTCCGATTCCTTTTTAAGTGTCTAATCATTCTTAAGCCATCTCTCAGGTTCAGTTTTCGAAAGATGGCAACTATTTGTACACTGGGGGGCGTAAGGTATAGTAAAACTGCACATATTGGAACGTTCTAGCATGGGTAATACAAAATTATTTAAGAGTCGATCACGAATATTTTCTCAAATATCATACAGGATCCATATGTGCTATGCTGGGATATTCGCAAAACTGTTGATATTGTCTACAAGTAAGTCTCCTGTTCCTCTAGGAACCTGATATAACAAATGGATATTTTATTTGAGGGAGATAGTAAGTAGCCCAAAATTATTGTTTATAATACTCATGCAATAAATGTAACTACGACCTTGTTGATCATGGATTTAAGTAACCTTAAATGGAATTCACGGAACCAACTAATATTCTTTCCCATGTCGAAATTGTTAGCCTGGGTTTGGCAGCAATTGTCCACGTGGTGGAGGCCCGGGTATGGGCGGCCCACAATCGAATGCCGTGGGCGCTTGTGTGTGTTGAATGCACTATAAGGCTAGGGTTTGCGCCTTTCCTAACACCAATTGGTTTTGGGATAACTGGTAGCGCCTGAGGTCCTACAAGTGGTATCAGAGCCAAGGTCACGGGTTCGATTCCCAGCTGGAGCAATTGCTGAGGGGGAGATTGTTAGCCTGGGTTTGGCAGCAATTGTCCACGTGGTGGAGGCCCGGGTATGGGCGGCCCACAATCGAATGCCGTGGGCGCTTGTGTGTGTTGAATGCACTATAAGGCTAGGGTTTGCGCCTTTCCTAACACCAATTGGTTTTGGGATAACTGGTAGCGCCTGAGGTCCTACAAGTGGTATCAGAGCCAAGGTCACGGGTTCGATTCCCAGCTGGAGCAATTGCTGAGGGGGAGATTGTTAGCCTGGGTTTGGCAGCAATTGTCCACGTGGTGGAGGCCCGGGTATGGGCGGCCCACAATCGAATGCCGTGGGCGCTTGTGTGTGTTGAATGCACTATAAGGCTAGGGTTTGCGCCTTTCCTAACACCAATTGGTTTTGGGATAACTGGTAGCGCCTGAGGTCCTACAGAAATGAACATTTCAGAACGGTGGACTATTATTAGAATATAACTTCATAATTTAACTCACTGTTTTTTCCACATCTGGTTAGACTATATCGATCATCCGAAACTACCAATCAAAGGATACAATTTGATATTGAGCCTCTTGGTCGATATCTTGGAACTGGCGGTCAGGTACCAATTTTTAGCTTTTGTATTTTTGTTCATGCTGTCAATTCAACATCATTTGATTGCTTACTTTTGTTTAAATTCTTTTATCAAGGATGGTCTTGTGCATATCTATGATCTCCAGACGGGGGAATGGGTATCAAGCTTTCAAGCTGCGCTAGGTGCTTGCTCAACCCCCCACCCCCACCACACACACATACCCAATCCACCCACCCCTAATGTTGTTTGTCATATTAAACATTATCTTCAATCTATCTTTTATTTTGACGCTTGCATTTGTATTTCAGATACCGTAAATGGTTTTGCTTTCCACCCGTTTCTCCCGATGGCAGCAACTTCATCAGGACATAGACGATTTGCAGGATTATTGGATGACTCTCAAGAAAATAACCCTTTAAATGGTATTAAATCATCAGTCCTTCAATATATTATCCCCATTCATCATCATGTGTGCTTATAGTCTGCAATCAGTTTTTCAGTAACTATATTATACTTCTTAAAATTTACGTTTCTTTATAAGTTTTAGTCTAACTTTTAGTCAATGCCCCGTGAGGTCGTAAAGTAATCTGAGACGATCTCAACTTTATGTTAACTTGTGAGTTTAACGGTATCTTTTTTGTTTGTAAATTTTAGGTCATGAAAATTGTTTGTCTGCATGGAGCTTTTATTCTTCGACAGCGGATGATGCAGCCAACACTGATTTTGGAAATTGATATCTTGACTTTGGATCTGTACAATAGCTTATAACATTGGCCATATTCATGTTGTAGATTTCCAAATTTTGCATTGAAGATAAAAATTATGACCGAAATCTTGACTAATATGAACTCTGATGCATATGTTTTATTGTATTAATACAGGTTGATACTGTTTCAAACAATTGCCATTTTAGCTTGATACAATTCAAAGTTATACTAGAATATGTAGATCTATATGAATATTAAAATATTCAAGTTTTCAATTACCTAATCTTATTTAGTGTCATCAAAATTAAATTAACCTATGCCATAACAACGTACTTTAGGCAGGCATAAAATACATAAGATTGACTGCAAAGAAAATGTCCGAAATTTCAGTTGCTATGTTTGCTTCTTCTGGCGACGAGGAGAGCTGTTGGCCGAGGAGGGATTTATTTCTCGATATGGAGGAATGAGCAAGAATTTTGTATAGCATTGTTGTTGTTGTCGTTGTTGTTTGTAAGTTGTGAAAAATTGTTGGGTTTTTTTGTTGTACATGTTGAGACAGTAGCGCCACATGCCAGTTTTTTCTTCAACACTTTTCATTGAAGACGAGTTGGCTTGTTTTGTATCTTTGTTTGTACATGTAGGGAGGAAGTAGGGGAGTGGTTGGTTATAGGGAGGATTCGAATTTGGGCTGTCATTCATTCAGTTCGCTGTGAATCCAAAGCGATTGTGTATGTATACGATATACGTTTCTGAGTTCTTGATTAAATTCAATAAGATGTTTTTCCTCGTGTATTTTGTCTATTGATTGCTGAATTATTTGTCTGGTTACGATTCATCGATATGTTTTACTTCGTGTATTAAAAGACGAGGGATTTTCTTTTCTTTTTTTGGTGAACTAAATTTATTACTTGCCATTTTTTATATAGATTGTTTTTTTGTGTAGAATTCTAGAACATTTTCCTGGAGAGTTCTAATCCCACTTGGGTATTGGTCATGATTGATTGACATCCCCTTGCCAAAGCTACGGACAAAGCCTGTTGAGCAGCCCTTGCTTCCCCAGCTTCAACAGACGGACGACCAACGATCCTAGCGACCCTCCACCATAAGCATCGACCCATGCAATCCCTAGCCATGAAGATTGGTGTGGATGCCGATTGACCTCAACCTCACGAACATTTGCATTGGTAAACTGACCCGTCTTCGACAAATGTCAAATAATTTTGTCTTTTGCCGGTATGCCTTCCACTGGAACAGCCATGATTCTTTCCTTGTCCATCGGCCAAAAAACCTCTTCAATAAAATCCGATTTCGAAGCTCGAGTGTCAATGTCGATTAAGTCTCCTACCTTGTCCTGGTAACACATATGAATAGGACGTTTTGTGTAGATTATGAAGTTGTTGTTTCCCACCAGCCATATTGAGGTGTCCGCTCCGTTCCTATTCTAACCCGGGTTCCACATCGAATTAAGAAGACAACACCAAGTCACAATTTTTGTTTTGTTTTTTTTTTCCAATAATAATTTTAATTCAACATGATTTTTGATTTAGTTTAAGTTTCAAAAAAATAATTCATATAAATTCCCAAAAAAAATTAGGTAAATTCAATCAATTAGTAGTCTTACAAAAATTCTAAGAAACTGCACAACTAATGAGAATTGTAAATCTAAAATGAAGTGAAATACATGATCACATGTATCTATATGTTTAATTTGTTTTTTGAATAAATCATATGTTTTAAAGCAGTTTAATTTACAAAATTGAACTTTCAGTTGCATCAAATTCGTATAACTTGTTCCTCTAATCTTTGTTTTGTAAACTGCTTTTTAGTTAGAAACTAGATTTCAAGAGATTTGTAACCATATATGACAAGAAAATGAACCCCTTGTCAAGCAAACGAGTTTAAATTTCAAAGTCGGGTTTCGGGTTTCGGGTTTTGGGTTTTCAAATTCATGCGGACAGTGCCACTTTCTACGGCAGCTGTTGTCGGTCTCCCGTAGCCAACGTCGTGAGAGATTTAGAAGAAAAACTAGCATTTTACCTTCCAATCGTCAAAATCAAATTTAAACACGAATTGACACCACCTTTCAATTACTCCACCACCTCATGCCGCCATTACCGCCGCTTTGGAACAAGTATGGGGGCATTGGTGGTGTAAAATCTTGAAGTTGGTGAGATGAGGAAGAGAGAAAATAGAACGGGTTTGGAAGTGGGGGTGATAAACGAAAAGAGATAGTGGGACTGGGAGGGAAAGGGAGGACTTAGGTTTATGACGGTAAGGGAATTTTTGTATTCTCACACACTAATTTTAAGTCATATTTAGGTGTATAAGGAAATCATTAAAGTTCATGGTATTTAGTTCAAAATATTTTTCATTATAGGGGTAGGGGTGGTAAACGAGCTCGAGCTCGGCAACATGGACTCGAGCTCGTTCCCACCCCTACTAGGGGGTATTGCATACTTCCCCTTAATATATTTGCATATATTTTAGGTAATCAATTTCAATAATTTTTTTTCGGAGTCTAATGATGCATTTTATTCTGCTAATGGAAATATATGAGTAGGAGTGCAAGTTGGAACGGAAATTTTAATTTTCGCCGATTTTGATCCGAAAAATTACAATTTTTGATTTTTTTGTATTGTAATTGAAATTATATAAAAAAAATTGGAATTCCGATTTTCAATCCGATTTTATTTACGAAATTAATTCCAAAAAGAATCCTTTTTTTCCCGAAAAAATACACCTATAAATAATATATATATATATATATATATATATATATATATATATATATATATATATATATATATATATATATATTATTTTTGCCATTCACCCATTTATAAACTTGTTATGTAATTCCTTTTCTAATCTTTACATGTTGAGAAATTGCAGTTGTGTTATAATTATGGGTGAATGGCAAAAATGCCCATCACATGGAACTTAAATGCATTTTGGTCCACAAAAAAAAAAAATAGTCTCTCAATTAAACTCATCCCCATGTCTGTAGTCTAAAATACCCTCCATAATGTAATTGTTATCAATTTCATCCATTATGCTATAATTTTCTTAATATTACACATTGACCCCGGATTTAAACAAATATATCACATTAACTCCCAAAATTGTTTTTTCAGAAAATATTTTTTTTTCTGAATTTTTTTTTCCGGCAAGACTACGGCGTTGACTTTTTTTTTTTTTTGAAATTTTTTTTCCTGAAAATTTTTTCCGCCCGTTCAACCAGCGTTGACTTTTTTTTTTTTTTTGAATTTTCTTTTTCTTAGAAAAAAATATTTTAATGAATATTATTGTCTTCGCTACTAAATTACTGTCTCAAACAGTAATATTACTGTTTGGGACAGTAATATTATGAATATTATTGTCTAAGACAGTTAAATTACTGTTGGAGACAGTAATTTAGCAGCCAATGCAGTAATATTGATTAAAATAATTTTTTTTAAGAAAAAAAATTTCAAAAAAAATAAATTCAATTAACAGTTAAATTAGTGTCTCCGACAGTTAAATAACTGCTGGAGACAGTAATTTAGCAACAAATACAATAACATTAATTAAAAATATTTTTTTTAAGAGTAAAAAAGTCAATTAACAGTTAAATTACTGTCTCCGACAGTTAAATTACTGTTGGAGACAGTAATTTAGCAACGAATACAGTAATATTAATTAAAATATTTAAAAAAAAAGTCAATTAACAGTTAAATTAATCTCTCCGACAGTTAAATAATTGCTGGAGACAGTAATTTAGTAGCAAATACAGTAATATTCATTAAAATATTTTTGAAGAAAAAAAAAAGTCAATTAATAGTTAAATTACTGTCTCCGACAGTTAAATAACTGCCGAAGACACTAATTTAGCAGCCACGACAGTAATATTAATTAAAAAATTTTTATTAAGAAAAAACAAAATTACTAAAAAAAAAAAAGTCAACGCCGGAGAACCGGCGGTCAACGGCAGTTGACCGGCCGGAAAAAAATTTCAGGGAAAAAAAAGTTTTTCAAAGAAAAAGAAAAAGAAAAAGTCAACGCCGGCGACCGGCGGTCTCCGGTGGTGGCGGGTCAAAGTTAGGGTCAAAATTGAAATTATGGTTAAAATTGGTTAATTGATGAAATTGGGCTAAATTGTGGTGTAAATCATGAAATTGGAATTGAAATGGGTTTCAACGAATTGGGGGTAATTTTGGTATATATAAAAGGATTTTCCTTATGCCCTTGTCATGAGCCTATTTGTCATTTGCCCTACAATTATTAGCCTAATTATAACAAAAAAAAAAAAAAAGAACAAAGGATATTTTCCATTGGTTAGTTATATAAGGTAATTGTTTTTCGATTTGTATTTCCTTGTGTAATATATATTAAATTGCTAAAAAGAAAATCAAGGGGAGAGTGTTGTAATTAATTTTTGGTTCGTCAAATGTAATATTTGGTCATATATTTATATAGAAACGCCTTTGATATTTTATTATATATAAATTGGAGTCATTTATAATAGTGTTGGGATAGGATTTAGATGAGTAAAATGATTTATTCGCAATATGGATGAATGATATAAAATGCTAACCGAGTGAATCAATAGTGCAATTTATATGAAATACTAAATGGGTCTAACTTATCATAGAAAATAGTTTAGTTATATATGATCAAATATGATGTGCACTTGATAGTAATATTTCAAAATAATAAGAAAAATGATCAGAAAAATATTAATCTAGACCAATTCTTCTTCAATAAGTTATATATGCAACTTGGTATTATGTTATAGTAAGATGTGATAATTGTAATAAAAAATTGTATCTAGAAAATAATTCAATAAATTAAAAAAAATATATACATCGAGCTACAATTTGGTGATTGGGTTGTCATAAGCATAAAAAGATATATTGAATTCTTCACTATCCATCTCAGTATCTTCTTCGCCCATACTCTCTGTTGGATCGCCTATTCAAAATTAAAAGCACTCAATCAAGATAAATGAGCTTGATTTTGCCGATAAAAAATGAACATTATCGTTAAAACTAGAAACATATGTCACATACCTTATATCGTATTTTCTTCTTCACTAGAAATGTCATTGTTTGTATGACTTTCAGTTGTAACACCGCCATGAGATTCATAGTAGTTGCAATACGTCTCCTAAAAAGAAGCATATAATTCCTTTAAATGAGCACTAAAATTCATAAATTATGTATCCAATTTGAGAGGTAAATAAGTAACTAAATAATTAATTAAGGTATTTACCATTTCAAGTCGTACGAGATCTTCTCTCATACAACTATATAGTATAAAAAGTGCAACCTCCTTCAATGAACGAAAGTTGCCACTAACTTTGTCATGCATATAATATTGTTACACAATGTTTTTGGCAAAAAAACATTAGTATGACACACATATTTTATTTAGTATGTTTAGAAAATTGTGTGATATATACCTTATCACTGGCTTTCGAGCCATTTCGTTTTATCTCTTGCACTACCCAACCCGCCAACCGTTCTTGCAAAGATATGTTGTAATTCGGTTGAACTGGTGGATTTGATATTTCGTCAAGAGGAATCATTACGTCGTGTTGTTGGATTGGAGTCTTTTTCACTCCTAACGCCGATCATTCTTCTTGTCGGCAAGGAAATAAGTGATACATATTCGTTTCACTTGTTTCATTCTGTGTCACATTTGTTAAGAAAATCAGTCAAAACCAGTCTTTACAAAATATGCAATCTACATAGTTGTGATATTAACCTTGTAAAAGAATGTTCTTCATGTACATTCTATTACAAGAACAAATTTTCTAGAATATAACTAATTAGTGAGATAAAAAAAATGTTAAAAAAAGTAGCTAATCTCAGTTATGGATGTTTAATATATAAATTATAATTAAGTTATAATAAAAATCTAACTAGAGTATTGTTCGTGCACTAGACTTATGACAATATATATATATATATATATATATATATATATATATATATATATATATATATATATATATATATATATATATATATATATATATTGTGTAAATAATATGTGTGTGGGGTTTCCTAACACAACCACCTAACTCCCCACTAAATCACTAACCTACCCCATGTCTTCCCATTATGTGTTAGTGATAGAATAACCTCTTGTGTAACTTCTCTTGTAACTCCCGGTGGTTTTTCACCTATATAATGGAATTCTCCCTCCCCCATATTTACACCCTTATTAATCTCTCTCTCTACGGATTTTTGTCTTTGCATTATCTCTCTATCTTTTATTATTGTTGCTATACTTTATTTTCCACAATCATCAAACCGAAAAGCAATATCATTAGGGCGATTTACAACACGTTATCAGCACGAATTGCTCGCGGTGATCGTGGAAGAACAATTGTTCGTGGGGCTAGAATTCTTGGAGAAATTGTGAGCGTGGTTCGTTTGTGAGACGGTGATCTACTTTCGTAGAACGTAAAATCTTCTCTGTAGTATCTGAATTTTATCAATTTTCAAGTAAGCCTTAACCCCTTGAAATTCTTTATATGAATGCATGCTAGATAAATTTAAATTGGCATGAAAAGTTGTGTAGCATATTTATTTGATGACATTTGATATTTGTTTGAACATCTCGGTTGATATTTCGAGTACTGTATGTTCATGAATAGATTGTTATATGATTGGTACTTTGTTGGTGAATGAAGATAAGAAGTTTATGAATTAATATGTTTGTCAAGATGAGTAATATGTAATATTCTCGTAGAATTATTTCACTATGAATATTTTGCATATATGTTTGGACATTTAGTGTTATTTAACCAGTGAATAAAATCATCCATGTGAATATTCTGTATGAGTGAAACAATCGGTTTTCCTAATAATCATGAACTGTTTGAAATATTTTTTTAAAATATATGTAGATTCTATGCGAGTCATATATGCTATACGTGGTTGTATCACGTCATATGCAAATTTCATGACATAAAAGTAATACACAATAATTTGATTCGCATATATACTTTGTCTATGTATTATAGGATGGAACATTTGAGCAAACTTGATTTCACCCCTTTGAATGTATCTGGTGAGAACTACGTGAGTTGGACAATGGATGTTAAGATCCATCTCACTAGTAAGAAACTGAGGATGGCTATTGTCAAAGAAAATCTGCTTAATGAAGCCCAGAAGGCTGAAGCTATGATTCTGATTAGGAGGCACTTAGATGAGGTCCTCCGTTTGGACTACTCATCGATTGAGGATCCCCAAATACTATGGGATGCCCTGGCCAGTCGATTTGATCACCAAAAGACAATCCTCTTGCCTGAAGCAAGAAACAAATGGATTCACTTACGGTTTATGGACTTCAAAACCGTTAACGAGTATAACTCTGAAGTATGTCGCATCAAATCCACCCTGGAGTTTTGTGGAGAGAAACTAACTGATGCTGAAATTCTGGAGAAGACGTACTCTACATTCCCTGCCTCACATATGATACTGTCTCAACAGTATAGAGCCAAGAACTATACTCAGTTTTCAGAGTTGGTCACAGTTCTGCTCCTCGCCGAGAAGAACCTTGATCTTCTTTTGAAGAACAACCAGGCTCGACCAATTGGTACTCGACCTTTGCCAGAAGCAAATTTGGTCAACAGAAACAATTGTGGAGGAGGCAGAGGCCGTGGGTTCAATCGTCGAGTGAGAGGACGATGTAATAGGGGCGGACATGCTCCTTATAATAGGCCACCTAATGGTCCCCCACAATATGGGCAAAGGGGAAATATGCCAAGAGGAGGTAACAATGCTCGACCTAGAGGTGCGCAGCAGAATAGAGCCCCGAATCAGAATCAAAATCAGAATAGAGATACATGTCATAGGTGTGGTGGAACTGGGCATTGGTCACGCACCTGTCGTGCGAGGAACGTTATGGTTGGTGGTGTAAATAACAATGCACCACCGGAGGACCAACCTGGTTGAGATAGACGTTCTCAATGAGGAGCCCATTGCTCGACTCCCAAATCTGGGCACATCTGACCCAATGACCCAGTTTGGCATATGATTGGAGTGTTATTTTATGAGCTTAGACATTATTTTCTTTTATGTTTCTAGTTTATCAGTTTTAAATTATGTTGTTTATTTGGTCATGCTTATGAACCAATTTCGTATTTGGATTATGTTTGTGCTTTATTTTCTGGACTATATTTTATGTGGCTATGTTTTAATTCAGTTTTTATGGTACTCGGTAGAGTTATCTTGTTTGGATTTTATTAAAGTATTTTCTGTTGCGGAATATATGATTAGATTTATTTATCTTTCTAGACATGGCATGTGGGGAAGAATGTCTGGCAGATAGTGCGACAACGCACACTATCCTTAGGGATAAGTCATATTTTGTTAGTTTCATGCCTAGTAAGACTTCTTTGACTACTATATCAGGCACATCTAGTATAATAGATGGTTATGGTAATGCCCATATTATGTTACCTCATGGCACAATTCTGACCATTAGAGAAGCTCTTTATTCTCCACGTTCCAGTAGAACGTTGTTGAGTTTTAAAGATATTCGAGCCAATGGTTATCATGTTGAAACAACCGATGAAAAGGGGATCGAATATATGTGCATCACCTCCAACGTGTACGGCCAGAATCGTACCTTGGAAAAATTAGAGGGACTTTCGATAGGGTTATATAGGACCAGAATTCGAGTGCCAGAAGCACACCTTGTCGATTGCTCGAAGTCTAGTGATCCGAGCAAATATTTTCTATGGCATGACCGACTGGGACATCCGGGTCAAAGCGTGATGCGCCGAATTATTAACACATCTATTGGGCATCCACTAACGAATAAGGATCTTGTACACAATGATAAGATATGTGTACCCTGTTCTATTGGAAAACTTGATCCTATGCCAGCTTATGCACAAACTAGTAAAGATTCTATTGGCTTCTTGGAACGAATCCAAGGAGATATATGTGGCCCCATCTCACCACCATGTGGACCTTTTAAATATTTTTTGGTGATGGTTGATGCTTCGACTAAGTGGTCACAGGTCGATTTGTTGTCTACGAGGAATGCTGCTTATGCTAAACTCCTCTCTCAAATAATAAGATTGAGAGCACACTATCCAGATTATCCCATTAAGTCTATTCGACTGGATAATGCTGCAGAGTTTACGTCGCGGTCTTTCGACGAATATTGCATGTCCTTAGATATTGACATAGAACATCCCGTAGCACATGTTCATACCCAAAATGGCCTTGCAGAGGCATTTATTAAAAATTTACAGAGGATTGCACGAACTTTGGTAATGCGCACCAAACTTCCAATCTCTGCTTGGGGCTATGCAATATTGCATGCGGCTATGTTATTGCGATTGAGGCCCACTGCAACCCAACCATATTCTGCGTTACAGCTGGTGTCCGGAAGTACACCAAACGTTTCTCATTTATGCACATTTGGGTGTGCAGTTTATGTGCCGATTGCTCCGCCACAACGGACCAAGATGGGACCTCAACGTAGATTGGGAATTTATGTTGGTTATATATCACCATCTATAATACGATATTTAGAACCCTTGACAGGCGATCTCTTTACCGCTCGATTCGCGGACTGTCACTTTGATGAGACCGTCTTCCCGCCGTTAGGGGGAGGAAAGAACGTTCACACTAACCTTCCTGAAGAACGACGTGAAGTCGTGTGGAATGACCCCACTGTGTCTCATCATGATCCCCCTACTTCAGTCAGAGAGTTTGAAGTAAGTAGACTTATAGATCTACATAAAGTAGCCAATAATATGCCAGACTCATTCTCTGACTTAGAAAAAGTGACGAGATCTCATATACCAGCTGCAAACGTGCCTGCAAGGATAGAAGTCCCAGAAGGACAAAACGTGGGAAGGCCATCAGTCCCTGCTAACCAATCATATCTCCCTGCCCAGAAGAGGGGGAGACCAATTGGATCAAAGGATTCTCATCCCCGGAAGCGGATGAATGCCCAACAGTTGAATGAGGTTAGCAATAGCAATAATGGGATCCTACCCGATCCATCTCATGAAATAGTTCCGGACTATGGATCCGTCCTGGAGACGAAATCGGGGGACGCCTCGATATTAGTATCCATTCCCGAGAATAGAGAAATCTCGGTTAGTTATTCATGCATGAATGAGGTGTGGCATCGGGATGAAATAATCATCAATGATGTGTTTGCTTACACAGTAGCAACTGAAATTGTATCGAGTGATGATATTGAGCCTCGATCAATTGATGAATGTAAACAGAGGGATGATTGGCCGAATTGGGAAAAAGCAATCCAGGCTGAGTTCGACTCATTGGTAAAAAGAGGAGTGTTTGAGCCGGTAGCTCCTACACCTCCTGGAGTGATACCCGTGGGGTATAAATGAGTATTCATAAGGAAAAGAAATGAGAAAAACGAGATTATGAGATATAAGGCTCGTCTCGTAGCACAAGGGTTTTCTCAGCGACCTGGGATTGACTTTGAGGAGACATATTCTCCTGTTATGGATGTTATTACATTCAGATATCTAGTCAGTTTGGTTGTATCCGAGGAACTGACTTTGCAGCTCATGGATGTGGTCACAGCTTATCTATATGGGGATCTAGATACGAGTATATATATGAAAGTTCCTGAAGGACTTCGATTACCCGAAGCAATTAGTTCCAGACCACGGAACACGATCTCAGTTAGGTTGAGACGATCACTTTATGGCTTGAAACAATCTGGAAGAATGTGGTATAATCGCCTAAGTGAATACTTGCTCGGAAGGGGATACGTGAACAATGATATTTGTCCTTGCGTGTTTATTAAGAAAACATGTTCTGGGTTTGCTGTTGTAGCAGTTTATGTTGATGATATGAATTTGATTGGGACTCCTGAAGAAGTCCGTGAAACAGCCCAACTCCTAAAACATGAGTTTGAGATGAAAGATCTCGGTAGGACTAATTTCTGTCTCGGACTTGAGATAGTACACCGTGCTGATGGAATTTTGGTCCATCAATCGAACTACATCCAGAAGATGTTAAGACGCTTTAATATGGATAAAGCGAAACCATCGAGCACGCCTATGGTAGTCCGATCATTGGATAGGTCGAAGGATTCGTTCCGTCCTGTGGAGGAGGACGAAGAAGTGTTAGCACCTGAAATGCCGTACCTAAGTGCAATAGGCGCATTATTGTACTTAACTCAATGTACTCGACCTGATATCGCATTTGCGGTAAATTTGCTAGCAAGGTTTAGCTCAACACCAACACGCCGCCATTGGAATGGTGTAAAGGACGTATTTCGTTACCTTAAGGGTTCAATAGACATGGGTTTGTTCTATCCCTATGCATCATTAAAGGATGCAAAGCTTGTGGGTTATGCTGACGCTAGGTATCTGTCAGACCCACACAAAGCTCGTTCCCAAACTGGATATGTGTTTACCATTGGGAACACAGCTGTGTCTTGGAGGTCTACAAAACAGACTTTAGTTGCCACCTCATCGAATCATGCAGAGATTTTAGCACTTCATAAGGCAGTGCGTGAATGTACTTGGCTTAGAGCCATGAATGGGCATATTCGAGATTCCTGTGGATTGGCTACCACAGAAGATCCTACGATCATATTCGAGGATAATGCAGCGTGCATTGAGCAAATGAAGACGGGCTTCATTAAAGGTGACAACACCAAGCATATAGCTCCAAAGTTTTTCTTCAATCAGCAACAACAAGAGCTCAAACAAATAATGATCCAGCAGATCAGAAGTCAGGATAATTGCGCTGATTTATTTACTAAGTCATTACCTAAAGTCACTTTTGAAAAGCATGTTAAGGCTATTGGCCTGCGTAGATTATCTGAGCTCGCTCCCTTATAGACATCAGGGGGAGTTAACTTGAGGGGGAGTACCCTGTAGGTACTCAGTATCCAGAAGATACCTAGATGCCCTATTGTACTCTTTTTCCTTTTTGCGGGATTTATTTTCCCACAGGGTTTTTGGTTACCCGCTAAAGGTTTTAACGAGGCAATATAGCTGATTGGAAAGATTGTGCGTTGTACTCTTTTTCCTAACCGAGGTTGTTTTGTCCCACTGGGTTTTATTACTCGGAAGGTTTTAATGAGGCAACATGAAATGCACAATAGTGGTTTTGATAGGAATCCCCAAGGGGGAGTGTTGTAAATAATATGTGTGTGGGGTTTCCTAACACAACCACCTAACTCCCCACTAAATCACTAACCTACCCCATGTCTTCCCATTATGTGTTAGTGGTAGAATAACCTCTTGTGTAACTTTTCTTGTAACTCCTGGTGGTTTTTCACCTATATAATGGAATTCTCCCTCCCCCATATTTACACCCTTATTAATCTGTCTCTCTACGGATTTTTTTCTTTGCATTATCTCTCTATCTTTTATTATTGTTGCTATACTTTATTTTCCACAGTCATCAAACCGAAAAGCAATATCATTAGGGCGATTTACAACACACATATATATATATATATATATATATATATATATATAGGGTTTATTTGGTGGATTTTATGTGCACATGGAATTACGTTTTACTCACATGTTTATGTAATATTGATTATTTTAACTTTCTTTCTTAGTAAAGTGATAATATTTTTCCTAAATTTGTGACCCTAGAAAAAAGTATTATTTCTTTTTAATTATTTTATTCATCATAAATTCTATATAAAGTAACTAAACCATAATTGTTTATTTGAAAATTGTAGCCTCTACGCTTCAAAAATTATGATTCAATCTTGAAAAAATACTTCTTAAAGATGATGATTAATGAAATTAATGAAGATGATAACAATGAAGTAATTAATATATGCACAATAGTTACAAATATCCAATGCACATACCTTTTGCATTTCTAGAATATAATGTCCGTCTTCTCCATGTTGGAAAAGTCGAACGAGATATTCCAAACTCCTTCGACTACACACCTTACTCTTCATTTCTTTTCGAGAGACG